AAACATTTTTTCTTGCTTAAAATTACCATAAAAGGAAAATTTTTAACAAAACGGATGCGATCAGGAGAGAGTTTTTTTGATTAATAATTAAAAGATTTTTATTATTGTTTATATTTTTTAATATATATATTTTTTTTTATCTATAAAAAAAATTTCAAAAATCTTAAAAATTTCAAAATCTCTCAAGTCTAAACTAAATCTTAATTGGATAAGGACATTATATGTTTTTTATTTAAAGTTTCTAATATTATTACTTTAATACTACTTTGTTACCAGTTTAATATTTAAATTTACTATATATTGGTATTATTTTGATACTATTTCAATATCAATTTGATATTTTTTGAAGTCCTACCCTTTTACAATATGCTGTATAAAAAAAGAATTGCTAATAACATTATAAATAATAATAATAATATTGATATATTCAAGTCAAGACAAATACTAGAAAAATTAGTTAAAAATTTTTAGCAAAAGCAATTATAATATCTTATTTACTACAAGTTATACAAATTTAAAACTAGTGAAATAACAAACTTGTTAATTTTTAGATTTAACAATATACAGTGAATCATCTGGGTACAAGTTTGAGTATAATAACGGCAACGTTTTTATTGTTGATATGTGCACAGAAACACGTGGAGCTGTTGTTACACTATTGCAAAAGTATTTTGATGCTTTCAATGGTGACGTTATAATGATCCGCCAATAGTCGTTAGGTGTCAACCACGTAAGAATTCAAGCTTGTTCGATCTTTGACTTTTTATGGATTTTCTGATATCTTACATCCTTTTATAGTTCATCCTTCACCAAATGCAGATGGACTTAGGATTTCACCGGATATTGCAGTACGTCCGGATGTGACATTCGTTACAAGACCTCCCAACCCAGGACCTCTCAATCTTGGACCTCCCCCAAGCAACACAATAGTGCATTGAATTTGGTATATATTATCATTATCTGTTTTGTATACAATTTTCTAATACTTATACTTTTGTAGGGGAACCCTCATGCCAGAATAGTATGTGAGGTTGCAGTTAGTCAAAGTTACCGTGGATTGAAAAATAAGTGCGAACTTTGGATGGGTCAGCAGTACGTGAGATGTGTATTAGGATAAAGCTTTGTGATTTGAGAACTACACGAAATACATGTGGACAACTTAATCGAGCAATGAAGGTATTTATCTATTGACCACTTTATTATAGTTTGTTAGTTGATATTCTAAAAAACTTTTTAATTATTAGGCTAAATTATGGAGACAGGGATTGCCAACCAGAAAAGTAATGTTAAACTGTTTAGAGATTCTGTTTATTTTTCGATATTTACACGTATGTGTCTAAAAAATAGTGGCATTTCGGGACTGTGCAAAAAGGCAGTAATCAACCTACTGGGTGTAATACTCCGGGTAATCCAGCATATCAGATCAGCATTCCGATAAGTGATGTATTTTATGACCCGCCTATTCCGTCTATTGGATATGTTTCACTGATTTCCTGTCCTGAAATTCCTAGTGGTAATTTCATCATTGATTTTTACAATATCCAGCAGATAGTTTTGGATAATCAGCCAAGATAATGAATATTTAAGGTGTTTTTATAATAATTGACATTGTACTGCAATCTATAATACTTTGAACTTGGCTCATGTTCTTATTTTGTATTTATCAATACCCACATCAGGCTTATCTTTAACTGTGCATACGCGTATGTTTGGGTATATATCAGAAAAATAAATAGAGAACAGACTTAACAATGTATGCACTTGAGATTTTATTGCATCGTTTAAATTTTAATCTTATTAAATAAGACCCGATTATTGAAGGTGCTCTATAATAGCTATGCTGTATATGGATCTTCGTAATGTCAGTCATATCTTAAAACAATTCTTTCTTGAGTTGATGCCATTATGAAAGAATTCGATATACTTTTCTGTTGTAATCCTTGTACAACCCTGTAGAATATTCTGCTATTTTCAACGAATTGGGACGATGTATCTTAGATGGCGGTTCAAGATATTTGGCACAATTTTGCGGTATAAATTTCTCGTTTATATTTACTGTAATGTGGACACCACGCCTTTATTTTTACAACAGAAAAACGTGCAATCCATCAATGACCTGCATCCATAACACCATAATAATGGGAGTTACAATTAATCTATTTAAGAAATATAAAAACCACTTTTTTTAGTTGCGATTTGTTTTGCATCTTCAAAAACGAATTTCGCATTACCTGCGCAATACGGACACCAAGTATTATTACTATTGAGGCATGAATTTCATTCATAACAATCCCGCAACATCATAATAACATCGATTCGCTATTAATAAATTTTTAAAAAGATATTCACCTCTTTTATCATGTGCAACATTTGTACCAAGAGTACAAGACCTTCTATTCGAACATTTTATGCACCAATTTTTACCACGTATAACATTATTATAGGTCGTTGACCACTGACAACCTTTAGAGCATCTCCATAATTTAAAAATAACAACAGGGTATAAAGAAAATCTAATATTTTAACTATTGATCAAGTCAATTTAAGTAGGATATGCAAATCCTAAGAGAAAGAGATAATAATAGAATATAACGATAAATATATAGAAAATTATATAAATATATCAGATTATAAATAGGAAAAATAATGATTAAATCTTATTGTTATAAAATTAATTTTTATTTTAATTTAATTTATAAAATATATAATAATTCATATTATATGATATTGATCAAAACTTTATTATATTATATTGGTTTGATTGAATTTTGGTTTTGATATTTCAGTTTAATATTGATACTTTAAAATTGTAGAAAAAGATTGAATTAGCATCAATTTTGGCAAAAAATTAATATAATTAAAAAATATTATTAAATAAACAATTATAAAAAAAACAATTTAATTTATATTATATCAATATTGATTCCGCGAAATTTGTGAAATTCGTTACGTGTCGATCTGGAGTCAATTACATGACTCATATAATTCGGAAATTTCACTCGCCTGCATGGGTACTGCACAAGAGCCGTAGGGATGCTGCACGAGTGACGCACAGGGAGCATTTTTCTGCACCCCACTTAAACTCTGCTCTAAAAAACAATTTTATATTTGTTTGAAATTAAATGATGAATAGTAGACTAAAGAATTATTTTTATCAAAATTTTAATATCTTCTGTTTATAATTCCAGTACTGGAGCTTCTGCTGGTATTGGAGAAGCATGTGCAAGGGAATTTGCGAAATCTGGCTCTAATTTAGTTTGTATTTTAAAATCTCAAAGATTTACAACACGTTCTTGCCTCTAATAAAAATGAGGTTTGCTTATATTTTCGGAATCTAATTTTCCAAATTAGGTTTAGCAGCAAGGAGAATAGAAGTCTTGAGCAGCTCAAAAATGAATTACTGTCAGAAAACCCTAGTATAAGAATTCATACGCATCAATTAGATGTACGTGATAAATCCTCTGTAGATTCGTTGGTTCCAAGCTTACCGACGGAGTTAAAAGAGATCGATATTTTGATAAATAACGCCGGTAAGTTTCACTACATTGCATATTACAGGTTCTTTCAGATTTCCTTTGAAACGTGTTCCCTAATTATTCCGTCAAATGAAATGCACAGGATTGGCTATTGGAATGGATAAAATTGAAGATATTTCCTCGGATGCTATCGATACAATGATTGACACCAATGTTAAGGGTTTGTTATATGTTACCCAATCTATTCTTCCAGGAATGAAAGAACGTCAAAAAGATCATATAATTAACATTGGATCTGTGTCAGGTTTGTATACAATATTTTTTTAACCACACACACATATATATATTTTTCATTAAATCAATTCCTCTGTAGGAAAGCAGGCTTATGCAAAATGGCAGTGTATATTGTGCATCCAAGCATGCTGTCAACGCTATTTCGAGAGCTTTACTTCAAGGGTTGGTGAATAATTTATGTAATTGTAGGATTTATAATTTATATTTGACAATATTTACTATATTCATTTAAAGGTTGCTACACTAATTAAAGTAACCGAAATCAATCCAGGAAGGTTTCTTTAAATATTAAGTGATGATATTATATCATAATACTAATCTGCTGAATCTACAGGCAAGGTAGAAACAGAATTCGCAATTGTTAGGTTCGGTGGCGATAAATCAAGGGCAGACAAAGTATAGTAAGTACTGTGTCATCATATATGAATGTAATCAATAAATAATGGTTTTGTGTTTAACATGTGTGCAGAAATCTTTAAGTGGTGAGGATATTGGTAAGCGATTTATTAAGAATTGTTATATTTTTTCAACTATTTATTTTTATAATGGGTTATAATCATAGCCGAAACGGTAATATTTGCTGCATCAAGACCTAATCACGTCAACATTGCTGATGTGTTAACACACCCAGTTAATCAGGCGTCATATAATATTTTCATCATCCATGTTTCTAATATAAAATTTGGATTATTACTAATTTTCTTTACACTTATTTATACAAGCATCAATATCCACCTTCATAGACAATATGCTAAATAGATTTTGTATCTAAATAGCAGATAATATTTTGTTCTAGGAGAAGTAAATTATCAGCAATGAATTATTGCACATCCTGTTTCAATAACCATTATGTATGTGGTTAGATTTCACAATATTTGTATATAATACGAAATATTGATATTTGGGTTAACAAAAAACATTATTAATTTACAAATCTTATTTGTATTACTATATGCAAATTTAAATACAAAAAATACTGTAAAGCATATTTTTAAAATCAGAAATTTTTTAAAAAAAGATTTGAGATTTATATTTTTCATAATTTGAAACCAGATTATTTATTAATATATACAGTCACAAAAGTTTTCGAATTAATATTTTCTAATTTAATTTAATAAATAATGATAACATGTTAAAAAATCCGTAATTTAGTTTCCAAGTCAAATAGGAACCAGCTCGAACCAAAACCTAAAGCCTTATATGAAGCATCTCATGTAATTACAATAGGGACCTCAGATTCTGTATACAACTTACAGCCATTGTAATACATATGGTATAATAATACATCAACCAGAAATCCCCTTCAACATAGCTTAAACACATAGAACTTTGGATAGTATATCATCTCGGTCAATCCAATCTAGCTCAACCCATCCTCAGTAATCTATATATTAATAAGAATGGTGAAATATATTGGAGATACAATGTTATACAGTAACCTACATGTATTAGAAAGATAACACACTACTGTTATTTCCTCGAATACAGTTACATGACACAGAAATGGAAGTCTCAGATTCCAATTCGGCAACAAAAATAGCTAGTTAAAATCTTGCTTCAACCTGCCTTCTTTATTACCTACCAATTTATAAAAAAAACATAATAAGATAATTTTATCATTAAACTTATACTTGCTTGATCTTATAGATTTTTTCAACTCACTATGTGTTGTCATACTATTAAAAAATATCGTCGACTTATTTACGTATTTGTCAAGGAATTATAAAAATCTCATATACCTGTCATGTGTTATTAGAAAATTAAGGTTGTAAAGTATTTAATTATCATATATCTGTCATATGTTATTAACATTTATATATATCTATAGATTGTGCATAAGATCTAAATATAAAAGGAATGCTTTATAATCCGAAACAATACGCGTGATTAAAATTATAATATTTTGATGTTATCATTATTTATTTAATTTAAAATTTGATAAACTTTAATAATTTTTATTTAATATATATTTAATTAGTTAAAATAAATATTCTTTTTTATTTTATTGTCAAAAGCAAAACAAAGAATATCATATATTTATGATCCTTGTCTGTCTATACATATAACACATGATTATTAATTTTTTTTTTAGTTAATTAATAATAATTACAATAATAAAAAATAAAATTATAAAATTATTGACTTTGAACTTACAATGGGTTTCATTTCCTAGTTATTACATAAATATTATATAAATCGAATTAACCCAACTTATCTGTCAAAAATATACAGTTTTTAAAATATGATTTATAGAAATGAAATATTGCTTATTTATTGAATAACTTAAAATTCTAAGCTTTTAATAATATTAATTCATTAGATCACCTTTGCAATAAATTCAAAGTATGTTGTTTTTCTTTTATAAAAAGTATAAAAATATAAAAAAAAATAAAGACAAACATTACAAATACATTCATAAAATAAAAATAAAATAAAATAAATAAATAATTGTCTATTTTATTATTAAAAATATTTTTTAATTTAAATAAAATTCAAACTTTTTATAATTATTAATATACTATATAATTAGTTAACTATTTTGAAATTTTATATTTAAAAACTTTTAACAAAAAGAAATATTGACTTGTTATATTGATCTTTAAGTTATATTTTTTTAAGATTGCTTTATTTAACTAATAAATATTTAATTTAATTTTGTTTTTAATTATTATTAGAATAAGTATTATTTTTCAATTCATTTTATTTTTTTTTATAATGAAACATACACATGATATACACCTTTATTGATATGTTTATATATCCAAATAAATATCAAGTGTCTTTATAAATTAACTGAAAACTGATTGATATATTAGATACCCTTTTGTCTCTACAACTAATTTGTAAATTAATACTACCTAGCATTTATATTACTATTAGACTAGTTATGTTAACTACTATTTACTCAATTATATATTCATTTAAATACCCAAAGATGTGCCTATATATTAAATAGAGCTTTTCACAAGAGAGAAAATCCTACTATTAGTTTAAATCTGCTCAAATCTACTAAATCCATTATTGCAAAGAGCAATATTGTTATAGAATATTGTTATAAAGACTAATCCCAATATTTCAGTTACTATTATCACTAGATCCTCAAAATATACCACTAGTATAGCATAATACTACTATTTTTATCACCTGTGAAACTGGTATTCTTGCTTAGATTCTAATTTAATCTTGATGATTCTTACCAGACTCACTTGATTTTAATGATTTTTGTTTGGATTGTTATCACCTGTGGTAGATAACCTTTGCTTTTTCAGTCCGTTTAAGTTTAAGAAAACACCATTCTTTCAATAGATCTTTAAGTTTCAGATTGGAATAGATCAGCTTAGAATTAGTCTCTTTATGTTATGTGACAAAGTCTGCTATTACCAGTTTGGATTAGAGTTTATGGGCTTATTACTGGAATTAAACCAGAAGCTTTTTCTTGTGCAACCTTTTTTGCTTCAATTTGTTTTCAGCCTGCAATTGTCAGAAAGATCAAAGGTCTTATATTTGTGCAGTTTAACTAAATTTGGAAGTTTATTTTTGACTAATTGGATATGACATAAATTGAAAACCAGTCAACTAATTATAAAAGTGATAAATTTTTGTAATCAGGTGAGTTTGAATCCTAGATCTTCTTTGGTGACCTATGAAGTATTACTACTATGCTATAGACCTATAGGTCTATTATTTTTCAATTTATTACTATATTGAAATATAGTTTAATTTAATATTATTATCTTATTTTTTTAAAAAAAAAACAAAAGAAATTTTTCTTATTTTCTTATAATTTTACTTTATTACTTTTAATTATTTTTTTAATTTAAAAAAATTTTTATAAATAAATATTATTATTTTATTAATTATTAAATTATATAAAATTTGTTTATACAAAAGATAACAATATTTCTTATATAATAAATTAAATCAATAAGTCTAATATTAGCTTGTCTATATAAATTATCAGAACAATAAAAGAAATAAATATTAAAACCAATATATATTAAAGGTAATATTAAGTAGCTATTGTAAGAGGGACCAAAAAAATTAGATAGATTCAACATATGTCATCCTCGCCCAATTGGGGTTTAATTGGGGCT